GACCATGTCATTGCATTGGAAACACAAATTAAAAATTTGAGTCAAGGATATTGTGGTTTCAAAAATTACCAATACAATAGTGGAGGGTGGATTATTTATCCAAATCCCTCTTATGCCTTTTTGATGCCAGCAACGTTGATCTCATAGATGATGGACAATTGCTGTTGCAAAGATGCTCATCATCAATCAGGTTCATTTTTAAGTCATTTGTGACATTGCAAATAAGAGCCATTGCGAACAATCAGTTTGCAGGTGGCCACCCGTTCCTTAGTGAGTATCATTTTGTTAGCATAAGGAAGCTTCCTTTCTTCACCTTGCTGAACCACACCACTATAAAGTAGCGATTCTTGCACAAAAATGGCGAGAGCAAAGTTGAGAAAACTGAGCAAAAAATGTTGAATGTTGTGCTCAATCTCTGTTATTGTTATCTTGCTCATAATGCACATTAAGTAGGTTTGGTACTTTCTTTCCATGCCATACCCGCACCTTTGCTTTAGGGAAAGGCCCAAATTGGGCCCACTCTTTTAATAAATATTAGGAAAGGACAAACCAAGTACCCTCATATTGTGTCTTGCGGCTTTGGGCAAAGTTGAATTTTACAGTATTTGCACCATTTTAGTGAATGAGAGCAAAAAACAGCTCCCACTCTGATCCCATGCTATAACACTTGTACAAATTAAGTAATGTATTATTCCATTCAGCTCACAAACTTGATCATTCACAAGCAGATTGAAAGCCGAACATATCATGATAGCCTTTTGTTGCTCTTGGTTATTGTGCAATCAACTATTGGCTATTGTGGTAATGTGGTAGCAACCCGTTGGTTTCTTGTTCTGCCGAGCGGAGCTCGGCCCGTTGCCAAAGTCGTGGAGGCCGTATGCGGAGCGAAGCGGAGAGAGCCCGGGACACGCCGTCCGGCCGAGGACGACCACGCTTCCACTGGAGAGGCCCTAGAGCGCGGGCCAGGGTGCCTGGATGCGGCCAAGGGGGGACCGCGCCGACAGCTATTGCCACAATAGTGTATTGAATTGCAAGCAACATTTTGGAGGGAACAAACAATAGCAATATTTGTATGACCATTTGAAGAAGCCATTATATCCAAGCTATTTGCGTCTTGTTTTGCCCACCATTACTTTCTTATTGTACTTTTAGTTCCACATTAGTTTTAACTCATAATAAACCCTAGTAGTTTGTTTGGATACAATATTCAATGAATTGATATGTCCATAGAACGGGCCAAAATTTTGGCCATTGTGCTAGAGGGTCAAAATTAGAAAAATATCCTAGTAGACTTTTTGGAATAGAAGAATAAAAGATGCTCAAGTAAAATATGAGGATAACTCATTGGAGCCACCCTCGCATTTGTGAGGTGTTGGTTTTGTGCTTTTGTCTCATGGTATATTGAGCTAGTAATAGTCCATGTCAATTTGCATCATCTCACATTTTCTTAGCATTTCCAACTTTCAAGTGGTGGTGCTCACTCTGAGCAACATCAAAGTAGATTTTCCTAGAAGATCCTCATTGTTTTTAGCTCCTTTTTGTATGCTAGCTATCACCTATCGGAACTGTATCAATGCGTCACTTTACTTGTTTTGTGACTTTCCCAGTAACTGCTTTGAGGTCAAGGCTCAATGGTACTACCTTACAATGATGGCGGGTAACGACTTAAAGTATTGCCACTATGAGTATTTTATGGTACTATTATGTTGTCCCAACGTCAAGGATTCTTTCTACTTTGCAAAAGTGAAGGGATTCCAGCCGCACTCTCATTGATTTTTATTTGATAATGATTGAGAGATTGTTGTAATCTCTTTGTTTCACTTGTAGCAGCATGTGGTGTCTTCCTTTTGCAATTGCTAAGGAGTAAACTTGCCCCTAAACTTGCTAGGCGCATTCCAAACGTTACATAACCCAAGTCAATCTTTACTTTATGTTAATTTTAAGCCTATTGTATATCGCCAACTCTATACAACTGCTCCCAAACATTCTCCCTTAATCCATTATACACAATGAAGCTGTGGTTGCCTTCAAGCATTCCAATTGTGTCACCTCACTAGCCATTTTTCTTTCCTTTAAGTACGCTTTTGCACCTTGCATCATGTTTTTATATGTTCTTGCACTATTGCTAGTGGTGGAACATTGCCAATTCCAGAATTTTTAGATGATTCACCACTATCATCATTGCGCAACATCTGGATCATAAATGAGATCTTGAAATTCCTGTTGTCTCCCATGACTGAGAATCAAACTTCAAGCAATAACTTGTGTTGAAGTTTGTGCTTAATTTTGCAGCACTGCAAGCAAACAAAAGGGTTAGACTTGTCAGCCGCAGCAGAAAAAGTGATACCCATAATCCCAGCAGGGCGTAGAAGCCCTCGCCAACATCAATTCCCATGAGCCACATCGCACCCCAATATGTTACACCTGGAACTGAATATCCATAAGATCTCATTAAATTTGTTCTGTCTTAATTTGAATTTCGGTGTACTTCCCCACCTTGGCATGTGCAAAAATCACGAATGGTGATATTGGAGATTTTTTTAGTCAGGAGTCAATGGCCCAACTTGACAACTTAGAATGTGCTTTGTAGCTGGGTTAAGAGTTGCAATCACGAATTTCACACAGAATTCACCATGTGTCCCAAAATGTAAGGTTTTTTTTGTGTACATGTTTTACCAAATTATCAAAGCCCATGTTTTCTAAGGCATTTGAGACTTAGATGGTAATCAAATCAACACCATTGATTGGTAGTCACAGAAAGGCATTGACCTGTTAGGTTCCGCCTCCACTTGTAGTCGTTCAATACGCAAGCTCGTTGAGGAAGCTTAGAAGCCCCTCTAGAGCTCCAAAACCAAGTGAGGAGAGTCTGTGGATGCGTGCTAACGATGAAGACACGGATGTTGGGACCAAGGAATCGACAATTGGTAACGCAAGTAACTTCTAAACTATTTAGAATATTTGGGCCACAAATGGCAATATGTCTTAGTACATAAAGGTGGTTTGATATTTGCGAATTGGGCATTTTGGGGTTAATATGGTGCATAAATGGATGAAGATTCACACACCATGCTAGGGGAAGCTGCATGCAAGGTGCTCGGTCCGCATTGCAGTTTGAGCTGCCCACTGGCCTGTGCACAATTAGAATTAGCCATTTCTGGAATTGTTGCTGAGCATTTGACAATGGTTGACGCCAATTGTCAAATGTACTAACGTCAATTTGACTTTGACGCCATGTTGATGAGTTGTGATGCTTGGGAATGTGTGGGCTGCAAGCAGACCACCATGGCTTTACACCGTTGGGAACACATTCTCGCCTTCGATTCTCGCATTTCATTGCCCCATATTTGGCTCTTGTGCCAATTGATGCACACCCCAGTGGCCACGCTTCCTACGCATCTTACATCCATCTGTTGCATCGCTTTGTGCCTCAATCACCACATCAAAAGCCTCAACGAAAGTCCCAATCATTCATGTTGGGCCCTCCTGCCACCTGCTGGGCTGTTCTCCAGAACCACATTATGTGTGATGCCAATATTGACGTGCAACGGTCGGCAATTTCTTACTTGCGATTTCATTTATGTAAGATTTGATGATTTCAAATGGGTCATATTTGTTTTGGGGTAGAGGAAGTACATTATAACTATGTGCATTACGATGTGCAAGACGAAATGATGAAGTAACAAACTTTGAGAAAAATGGGCAATCAAAACTACAATGCTGAGATCTCTGCATGCAAAATGGCTGAGCACATTACGCTTTTATCTCAGTGGACAATGCATAATCGGTGTTTTGAATTTGTATGCCGCCACCATCATCATCATCATCATCATCATCATCATCAAAATCCATGGTTTACATTTGTCACAAAATGACAAAACACAGCCCGTGCACCTGGTGGCGATGATGGGCGTGGGAACCAAGCAGATAGTATGTTCGGAATCAATGCCGCCATCACTGTACAAGGTGAGCAAGCTCATATTCCTGGTTTGTTCTGATAACACTTCCGTCTTCCACTCTTGCCTGATGTGCAATTCCCCTATTGCAAGAACGCAAAACAGGTTGTTGATTGTTGCAGGCGCTTTCCACACCATCGCGACAACATAGTCGCAATTATGATTGTAGTGCAAGTCATCGGCTCAGCGCCCTTCATCGTGGACTTGGCAGGCCTCAGCTCGACTGTACATCACTCATGCGTAGTTTTTGCTCGTGCTCGACCCAACAGCCTCGAACTAACCGTCGGCTGGACCATTTGTCATCTCAGATGACTCATCTGCGCAGTTGACTCATCTGCACAGATGACTCATCTGCGTGTCTTTTTTCAGCACATGTGTGATTCCGTAGCCTCGAACTGGCTCCCTCCCTTTGAGCGACATTTTCCCCCGTACAGTGCCACGGGCAGCGCGCCTTGGTTGCAACAGGGGGGGGGAGAGGGGCTGGCGCGGGAATGCACTCCATGCAGTCGAAAAAACATTGGCCTGTCGAGCACGTGGCCACGTGCTGCGCCCCCCTCGGTGTGAGCTGCCCAACTGGGGACATTACGCGGTTCAACCGTGGCGACTCGCGATCGATTTGGATGGCGGTCGGCGGCTACAGCGGCGGGGATTCATCATATCATCATCAAGGAACTTTACATATCGAGGAGCCTTACATATCGAGTGGGTGAAGATTCACGAGGTCGGGGTGCTCGATCAAGTTGCCAAAAAATCGGCCGGTACATTCCCGCCCGTCATTCCGGCGACCCCCACATCAGGAAGGACGCTCGCAGGCACACCACCCTCTGCCCCAGCACCCAGTTCCTCGTTCCTCCAACCCACCCGGCCCACCCAACCCGGGCGGCCACCCACCCAAACCCGGGCCCCGCCCGAAGCTCCAACGAAGCTCGAGCCTCCCCCCCACCCCACCCCCCCGCTCCGCCCACGCCGGCCATGATGCCCGCGTCTCGCGCGCAGCATTGATCCGAGTCCCGCCAGGCCGCAGCAGGGCGCCACATCGGGCCTGCGATGGATGCCGGCTGCCCGCCGAGGATGGCCGGATGCCCAGCGGGGGCCGACGGCGTGGAGGGCCATGGGGATTGCAAGCTGCCACGCAGCAACGGGGCGATCGAATCGGCCGGTGAGGCGCCGCTGATCGCCCGCGGGGGGATCGGGGCCAAGAGGCCGTGTGGCGTGCCGCGGCGGGCGATTGGGCCGCATCCGCGGATTTGGGCCCCGGGTGGCGGGGGATGGGGATGGCGGACGCGGACGGTCGGCGGCGATCGAGGCCCGGTGGGCGATCGCGGGCAGTTTCGCGGGAGGTTCTGCCACCCGGGAGGGGCGGTCCCCCCCTGGGGGCTTTGCGCCCCGGGCTCGCGCGGAGGCGAATGACTAAATCCCCTTCGTCGGTGCGCAGGCGGCGACGCGAGCATGTACGATTCGCAGGACCTGGTGAGTGGGCGCGCCGGCAGGCGCAATGTGCTGTCGGCCTCGCGTTCGAGGCCCCCTCACGCCACGCCTCCTTTCTTTCCTTCTGTGGGGCATCTGGGCGATGCCGGCGGTGCCGCGGCTCGTCGATCGCCATACATTCGCGCCGGTGGCTTGAGACTTGTCGCGAGAACAACCCAAGCACCAAATCATCAGCCATTTTGCAAGGGAGAGTAACAGGCCAGGCGCTGACCTCTTTGTACCGCAAAGGTACAAAGGAATGCGGCTGTGCAAGTGCGGGTTGGGTGGGGGAAATGCGCCTCGACAGAAAGCAGGCCGCTGATCGGCGCGGCGCGGCGCAGGACGGTCGGGATCTGTCGGCTGAGCACGCCGAAGAGGAGCGGCGGCTGCAGGAGGTAGTGCGCGACCGTGTGTGGCTGATCTTTCATCACTTCCACGACAACGCGATGGGGAAATTCGGGGCGGGGCCGCGCACGCTGGACGCCAACGACTTCCATGATATCCTGGAGCAGTCCTTCTACGAGGAAGTAGCTCGGATGCTGCCAGCCAACTCGGCATCCCCCACGCAGGCAGAAATAGAGATCAGCAGCCAGATTCGGTACAAGATTGTCTTCACCCACGACTGCCAGTAGGTTTTTAAACCGCATTTTCATTCCAAATGCAGTTTTGTATTTCAGTGCCTTTTGGTCTGGCTGGCCTTGGGGCAGTGCTTAGGGGCGATCCGAGAGGGGCTTGTCTAGAGAACCCAATGGGTGCTGACAGACAGAACAGGGAGGAGTTAATTTTGTGGTGGGTGGGTTGGCAACATTTTATGGATATGGGTGGGAGTTCTGGATTGATGTTGGTTGCCCCAAGCTGGTGTTCTGGCCCTGCAGCCATGAAGACGTGGTGGGCCTTGTGTTCCAGACTAGTTCCCCAGAACGTGGTGCTGTGCGTCCACATGTGACAGCCTTTGTTGCTGACAGCGAGGCCACTTGGCTAAAAGGCCTCAAAGTAGTTCTATTTCTTCTAGCGGGGAACTGCCTGTTAGGAGCAGCACTTCAAAATTGTGTCATTGTCTTCACAAGGTGAGAGAGTAATCGACCATTGGTTGCACACCGAGAACACTGGGCCGATGCGATCGTGTGTTGACTCGATCAATGCCATGATTGTGGTGGAACAACCCAGAAACTGCACTTCAGGAGTTGTATTACCTTTGCACAGCGCTATGGAGTTATGTTTGCCTGTTGTGCCCAACTATTGAGTGTGGGTGGCCTGCAAATATCGCACTATGGGGCCATGCGAGCCTCAGAGTGGGCCCTACCATAATCTGTTCCATGGTCAATGGTACAGAACCTTTTGATCCTGAGATCCGTGATTCGAATGCCACAAATATTGAGTAGATGGAACTCCCTGCACAGTCACCTTGTTGGTGCATGGAGTGCGACTTGCCCTCGGAATGAATCAAGCCAAAGCAGTGCTTCATGCTATGCCGATGTTTAGCATACCAGCATTTTCATGCGATGACACAGATGGCTCACACTTGGCGTCTGTGTTGGTCTAAAGGGCCCAGTCATGCAGCGACATGTCCTGCCAGCTGTGCATTAACAACCCCAAGAGGCCTTGTGGGGATGTCATCTACAAGAAGAAGTACTTCGAGAACGATCTTCTGATGGCAAAGTGCGGAGGGCCAATAAAGATTCGTTTGCTGGACATCCAAACCAATGAGTTGGTCAAGATCAGCACCACACTGGAGGTTCGTTTGTTGGAACTTCGTTTTCATTCCTTTTGTTGAATAGGACAAGGATCTCCTCATGCTCCTGATACGCACCACTGGGCAGCTATTTACTATTTAATTTCAATGTACAAAATTAACAAAACTGAATTAATAGAAAACTATTAGCTGTTTACTGTCTCAATAACTGGTGATGCACAGTGCCATGAAATCGTCCTGGCGGTTGTCAACATATCAGGTGCAATAATTGTTGATTTCTCTCCTACCCACTGTTCTTTGCTGTCTGTGTTGATACCGCTTGAAGGGTATGCAAAGGCTGTCATGTGCTCTTTTCTTTTGCTTTCCCTTGACCGCTAAATGTGGGCATTTCAGATGGGTGGTGAGCAGACACAATAAACAGATGAGGGACACAAGCATGTTTTGCATGTACACTTGCCTGTCAACGCCTCCAAAGAGCCTGCTTTGCCATTTGACAGCGAAGTTAAGAAAGTACTGTGGCTAACATGTCTGCGTGCTGTCGAAGCCTATGCAAGGGACTGACTCATGCTTCCCTTGCTTGGCCTGCTTGTTCAGCTGTTCATCTTAAAAGGGCCATCCTATGACCAGAAGTTTCCAAATGGCATCCCCCATTGTGCATGTGATGGGTTGGCACAGTGTCAGCTGCTGATGGTTGAGCAGGATGAGAAGGACGAAAGGGGACAGGTGGGGACAATTTCTTACAGGACATTTTCGCAGTACTTTGAAAGACCGGGTGCTGCATCCACCTGAATGTGAGATGGGAGTGACAGATGACTTGCTGGTGCTTATCAAATTTCATGGAGGCTGAATGCTATATGGCTCGATATCTCCTGTCCAGGCCACTACATTTGCCCAATGAGCGGTGCACATGAATGTGCCCAAACCTGGAACACAATCACTTAAAATGGCATAAACACTGTACACCGTTGTGGCGCCAGGTATGTTTTCCAGTGCACAGTGGCAGCATTCTGCGATCGCGCAGTTGCTGGCCTTTCCGAATTGGCAGTGCAGATATCTCCTTGATACCCTGTGCCAGCACATGTCAAGGCACAGCTGTTGGACCTTTATGCTGATGACTGATGCTGTTCGAAGGCTCTAGCTGCCCCAGTTGGCTTGAGGACTGTGGCGTTGGCAAGCGCTCAGGTTCTGGACATGCTCATGCACAAAATTGTATTGTGCTGAGTTGCAGATCAGACGTGCATTTCAACACAAGGCACGCTTTTGCTCCACTGTGAATATAAGGAATAGCAAGTGAGGGCAGTGAGTCTGCTCTTATCATCATCAGAGTTCCCTGTTGTGATGCCAAGCTTGGCCTTGTGGTGATTCAAGTTCGCATTCCAGCTGTTGCTGATTCAGTTGCACTCCACATTAGCAGTTTCCACCGATAGCGTTGTTACGTTTCCCTTGTTTCAATGCACTGTTTTAGTTCAAACTGTTGGAATTGCCCACTGTGCACCTAGCTGGCAGATACATTTGATGCTTTTAACAAGCACAATTGCCACCTTTTTCCTGACTTGCCCTACGCCTTTGGACATACTTTTGAGCATTGTGCTATTTCAACTGTCTTGATTCCTATTTCTTCTGGTTTGCCTTTCAGAAAGTTGTGATTCCACTGCTCCAGTCTGACTACCTACCGAACCAGCCCAATGGCAAAGTCTACGTTCGGCTGCAGGTACGACCCCACTGGCCAAGGCTCAAAACACAGCCATCACACAATTGGATGTCTGTTGCTAGCCCCTCAGCGTGTTGGATGAACTTGTGCACTGCACCAGACAATCGACTCTGTGAGCACCACCCATAGTGGGGAAGAAATGCTAGCAACGGCGTTGAATCCAAGCTTGGATAGTCTTGAGCCCTGCTGTGCCCCATCTTGCAGGATGGTGAGGCGACCCTTCCCAACGTGAAGGTCTTCAAGAGCAGCGAGGCCCTCCTGGGCGGGCGCCGGACTCCCTTCCGCTTGTATGCTGGCGTGCCCAGGGATGCGGCCCTGTCCCCAGAATCTGTGATCCCTGCCGTGGACCCCAAGGGCTTCGTGGTGGCCACCCAGAGGGCCAAGCTGCAAGAGAAGAAGGAGCGGCCATTCCTGGACGACCCCATCGCTAGCCTGGAGCAGATCGGTGGCAGGCGAGTTGAGACTCTGGGGTGCCTGGGGGAGAAGAAGCTGGAGCTGCCCCACGGCACACCTGGAAAGGTGCATGTAGGTGAGTGCGATTGCCAACTCGATTCCAAGACAGACATGACGTACAAGTATCACCCCTTCATTCTAACGATGGTGAACAAGGATTTTGTGTATGGCTGTTGTCTGTGCTGTTGAAGCCGGCCCTGTTAGTTGCTTGTTTTGTCCTTTCCTGTGTACTTGCTTCTGTGACGGTGTTCCCTGGATTAGGCTTGCTTAAGATGCAGAGCTGTTGCCGGTCAGTCTGCTTGTGACCATTTGCTCCTTCAATATGGCCTGTGCGATTGTGGACTGATTTTGTGCTGATGGTGTCTTGCTTTTGCAGTGAGGGACTTTTTGAAACTCGGGAGCATGATTCAAGGCCATCCGCAGCAAAAGAAGGAGGTAAGATGAGGCCTCAAGGACAGCCATTGGCAAACTAGAGCCTCCTGAGATTGACATTCTGAGTCCCACCATTGGGTGAATTACTTAACATTGTTTTGCGGTGAGTGGACAAGAGTCAGTACCTGAGGGAACATTTCTGTTACCCTTCCTGGCCTGAAAGGTTTGGTTTGCTTGTCAGTCAGGGTTTATTTATTTATTTATTTATTTATTTATTTATTAAATCATTTATTTATTTATTTTATATATTCGAATGCTGAGTTTTGCATGTATGCAGACTTTCCCAGCAGTTGGGAGGGTCTGGCTGATGGAGTGGCTTGCCACATCGCACAGGTCTTGACGCTTCTGAAGATGAACGAGCTGCAGTGGGCTGAGGCATGGGAGCATGCTGAGACAGCAGTGCAGGCAGACAACCAGCTGCGTGTGTGGTGGTTCAACCAATCTGACCTGCAGACTGGACTGCTGTATGAGTGTGAAACTGGGGAGGTCAAATTGAAGCACCCTGTTGGTAAGGATAGTTCTGGAAGTTCATTGTCTCGTAGTCTGATGCTGGCACTGATTCAGGCACCCTGCTGTTCATTCAATCAATGGTTTCGCAAATTACCCAGAAGCAGCCTAGCTGATCAAAAGGACATGGACTTTGCTGAAACGAAGGTATTAGTACGACCGGAACACAGGGATGGTGACACATCCTTTGACCAAGTGATAAGGATGTGGAGCGCACATCATTGCGATATGTGGCATTCCCTGGTTCTTCTAATTGTGCATGCGCCACAACCTTAGGGGATGGTGACTGACTGGTCAGGAACTAGAGATGTGCAGTAGCATCCTCTCTGCCAATAAGTGCACAGGCCAATGTAACTGCCACGTCGTTTGTACCCGCTCTGGCCAAAAGGATGAACAGGCACCAGCCAACAGCTTCGCATCATGCCTTGGTTCATAGGGTTGTTGTTTGATGCGTACAGGTCTGATACAAATGGCCGACACGCCCCACGTTATGCCATGCAAGGACCTGCCTCAGGATCAACAAGAGTGCATAAACAACCTGCACACGAATGCAACAGAGAACTACAACAAACCTGGGCATCCGGGGTGGGAGGTGTACCCCTTCGACTCGGTCGAGTTCAAGACGGTAATTGATGCAAAGCAGTCACCTGCGTTCAGAATCTTTCCTTGCTATGACAAAGTGCTGACCTTGTGCCAACGATGCATTGAAGGACGCTGTCACCCCTCTGCTATTGTTGGATCTTGCAAGGCTAAGAAATCCATCTAGACTGAGATTCACTGCAAAATGCTGGAAAATTGTTGGCTACATGACAATGGACACAAAAGAGTGTGCGTGTATGCACATGTATAGGCCTGGAGATGACGTTTGTTTTCACAGCTTGTCATCCTGTCCTGTTACCACTGTGAATCATGCAATGCAGCCGCTGTGTTTCTTTGTGCTGCTTGTGTCTGTGGTGCAGAGCCATGGACCAGCATAAAATTGACCTAAAAGAGGGCTTCGGACACATTTTGTTTGTCTTCTTTATAAACCTTTGGTTGTTTTTTTTCTAGAAGTGTCAAAACACAGCCCTTGATAACTACAAGGCAATGTCCAGCACACACCCACATGCACATTACCCGAATGCGTGGGTGATGGCCTCAATACGGAACACAGATCATACTATGCATGCCGCAAAAACATGCACAGTGCGGCACACAAAGAGAACACAGCACTGACAGAGTTGCGTTGCTGTCGCTGCTTGGGCCGACCTCTTGCTCCATTCCTGACCGCCAGCCTGGGCTGTGGCCAGGTTTGCTCCAGAGCCGGAGTCCCGATATCCGCCCTCACGCAATAGCTTGGGCTGCGGCATGTGCGGTCAGGAAACGTTGACGCCAGGGGCCCCGCAGCGCTACTCTGCAGAGAATATATCAGTCCCCACTTCTTCTTCTTCTTGAAGATCTCTTCTTCTTCTGCTGACGAGGCCAGTGTGGGTCAGTGGGTCAGTGGCTTTTAGGGTTTAGGGCGTCGAAACAAGAATCGACAATCCCAAAGAAGACAGAGGGACTGGACTCATTTCATGCCGCCCTACACTGTGTAGCGCCAGAGCCACGGCCAAGGCATTTCTTGCCTCACTTGCACAGGCCCTTGTCCACACTGCCAGCCTGGCATGTGAGTCCCAAGGAACTTGCCAGGCGTGAGGTGCCAGCCATCCGTTCAACATTTGGTACAATAGGAGGCTTTGTTGCAGGCCACGCTTTTGATGGGAGCAAAGCGGCCGTTTCGATTGAAACCATGGACACGGCTCATTTTCAGATGCAGGAGAACGGGGTGTTTTCGCCGATTGGGGGACCTACACTGTTCTTGTTTCTTCTCGAGGTAGGGGTATTTTTTGCGCCAACCCGCTGCTATGCTTTGACAAAATCCCAGCTTGTGTGCATGCTGCTGTTGTAGTGTTGGTGCTCGAATCTTTAGGCGTTTACGGTGCCATTAGGATGGGATAGATGTTTAGCCGTGCGTCACCTCAATTTTTTGGTCAATTCAAGCGATCTGAGCTGGGCACGGCTCCTCGGCCTGTGGCCGTTCTGGGTTGTAATTCAAGACTGGGCGTTTCGGGCTTTTGGAGCTCATCTAACCAAGGACAACTGAGCTAGAAATTAAACTTAGACTGTCGGGACAGATTCATGGTGTTCTGCACTTGGGGCATTCTGACACTGTTTTGATTTGGCCGGGCGTCAACCCTGGCCTGCAGGTTGCTTTTTTTGTGAGCGAGGGTTAGCAGGGCGCAGCGGCTGATGACGGGCGGCCTGTGCGGTTGCTGTCACGAGAGCCCGCCTCAGCTGGCATGCACAGGATGTGTGCGCTATGGGAAGTGTGGCTGAGTGAACCGACTGTGTAAATCGAGCAGCGAACTTCTCGAAGGGCTGCCAACTGTCTCTACCATCCCCTCACGGCATCCAAATATTGCTGTGGTCTTATTGCATCGTATTGGTACTGTAGTTGTATGTGATGGTGTGTGTAGCGGCATTTGTGTTGTTGGTGGTCATGGAGATCATTCTATTGTTATATACCAAAGTCCTGTCCGTTATCCAAATCACGCAATTGGAGGTCAGAACGTGCGAGTCAGAAATTCGACCAAAACAACTTCAATGCACCATGTTGATAGCTATCTGTAGAGCCCTGAAGCGTGGAAAACGCTGATGCATTTCTTGGGATATGCTAAGAGGAGCACAGGAGCCACTTTTCCTTTCGTTAGGACCTAGAGCGTGGTAGGGAGCTAGGGTAGGTGGGGAGCTAGGCTTGCCCTCTGAAAGAGGTGGATTGAGCTGAGTCGTTGTGAGGAATATGAATGGCCTGGTGGCTTGGTATGCAATGAAGATTGGGCCAAACCCAAAACTGAATCCACAGAGCAAAAATGTGGGCTTGCCACAGATTTTTGGGTGTCGACAGGAATTGTGCACGTGTTGTGGCTGGAGGCCAAAAGGCACCTAGATTAGTGCAATAGGATTGACCTAACCGGTGCAACAAGGTTGGGAAGGCCATACGTACTGACGGTAACCCGAGAACGGCCTAAGCTGGCGACAACATGGCGAATCGTTCAAATTGACAATTTCAAGGCATGAGTCAACATAGCAGAAGGGATGGTCCACAGAGTGTGTGACTGCATTGATATCGAATTCTGGAAAGTTTGTAGCATTGCCTATTTATTGCCTGCAACAAAGCTCTTGAACAATTTCGGTACATAGGCGGACACATACGGAGATAAGGTGAGCACAAAACTACAGGAACTGAGGCCCTGACGAAGATGTATAAGGACGCTTTCGATAAGGCTGTGAGTGTCTTGCTGTATGATGATGACTAATATAACCGAGATCCCCGTTACCTCACAATCGACCAAAAAATCGGAATCTGGTGATAGATTTACTAATTGAGTTGATATTGCAAAGTAATGGCAAGATTGGATAACGGACAAGATTTATGGAACGGAGGTAGCGTGTATTATTGTGTTATTGTAGATTGTTATATTATTGTAGATTGTTGTACAGAAAGCGTCGCCTCTGTGGAGGCTTGGCGTGCCCAAAAAAAACATAGCCAGAGCAATAAAGAGAATGCAGGTCGAGCAGAGACTACAGCGCTTGCACGGTGTCCACACTGAAGCATCAGGGCAGTCGGGTGATGCGTGGGCGGCCCTGGACGTGGCCACGGCATATTCTGATGGGACATGTTTTGCGGGTATAGCACGGACGGTGGCATGGACATGATTGTCGCAACACCGTATGTACGAAATCTATGACCTGCAGCATCAACATGTACTGCGGACGTCAGCGTGTGGCCATGGATGAGCACATTGTGCGAATTTCCTGCCAACCGCCCCTGTCTCGACCTCTACATGGGATGCCCAGAGCCTGATGACGGGGATGCCTTGTTTGAGTCCCTTGTCATGTACACAGGATTTGTGCGTAAATTCAGGGCGCATGTGACAAAGTCTTAGAGGGATCTCAAGAAATCGGAAACAGCAGCTCCTTAGGCATATTGAACAAGTCTCCTCTGACATTTTGACTTTGCTTCCACCATCACAGGAAACACCTGTTGTTGCGCAATCTGCACAGGCATTTCGTCGTCTGCACAAAATCCCAGATATCGGACATTCCAAGGCACTCTTTTACTGTGCACAGGTTTCTGTTCAGTGCCTTTGCATACATGCCATGTGCACGCTGATACGTTTGAAAGAATCACTGTTTGACCAGAGGATGTTAACAGCGCGTGCCGAGTTTAGGTGGAAGCCACATTGACACAACATTTTGTCATCCAGGCTTCACACAAGTCCAGGCTTTGCCAGGTAGGGATCGCTCCATCACTGCACTTTCTGTAGCCATCTTAGCATCAGTACCAATATATTGAGAAACCACAACTGGAATGGCAGCAGGTGGCATACTTGAGGAACAGGCGCTGCCGCCACGAAGTCAAACATTGGATGGATATATTTCCGGAGGACAGGTACAACACCAGGACACACAAGTGGCTGGACCAAGTTGCCAACGGCTATGCTGCAGGCAGGAGACTGCACCAGCAGAAATGTGCTTGGAAAAGCCTCAACTGAAAAACCCATTGACACAATGGGAACTTCGTCCATGCAGCAGATCCGACCCATTATGTGAGATTCCAACAGCGCCTTGATTTCAACTGCATCGCACCCTGCCACCGCTTCACCAGTCTCAACAGAGATGCAGGCGACCTCCCCCGGGATCAAACCCGCATTGTTCTGGCACAGGTGCTCTTGTCTATTGTGGCGATGTACAGGGGGGTCACATAGCCATGCTCGAAGGACGATAAAGCACAGAATCCTTTCGCCAATGAGCCACCAAACAAGCTTACATTGGCACCAGCATCGACCAAACTCTGAGGCGCCACGGCCTTGTTCCCAAAAGCAGCAGCCAGCACTGATGTTCCGCACACACAATCCCAGAAATCACCAGTGGCACCACCACTGTCAGTCCAATAGAAGTTGGGATCCGCATCTTGGCTCACATACTTCTTGACCCCGGGCAGGGATCCCTTCAGGGCTTCTTTCCAAAGACCCTGCCATACAGAAATCAGCGCAGCATCATCAGCTACAAGCTCCACAAGCTTTCCTAATATGCTTGCAATAGCTACTCGACGCTACTCAATGCCGCTTGTACAAGCATCTGCTGTGAAGATACATTGGATTCTGGCAGGTCTTAGTCTGCACCCTCACGCAAATCCGCGTGGCACATTGAGCCAACCTGAGTGTAAATGCAGGCCATTACGCGCATCGAAGTGAGACTAGTAATTTCTTTCCTAAGGACGATAAAAGCTCCTTGCAATAGCGTATTTCCGCCATGCCTGACATGTGGACAGAAACAAAGACCAATGCGTGAATAAAAATCATACAATTGGTAATGCAGATCGAATAGAACAGCAATTACTCTGCAATGGGGTTGAAAAAGTATTGCAACAATGTACCTGTAGCACGAAGGCTTACGACCATCTCTATCACATGCATTTTGATTACAAACAAGCGCATTGAAAGACGCATCTTGAATCGGGGACGGTGAACCGGCAAAACATTCCGTTGCAGCCTTGCAAGCTCGCCCACTTCGCGTCCCAATTCGCCCTTCAACCTCGGCGAGGCAAAAGCGCAATGACCCTGCCGCACGCAACCAGCGCCAACGCCCACCCTCGCGCGCGATACGATATCGTATACATGTATCGCGATACGGCAATCGGGCCCCTGGTTGGATCCGAACGACTCCCGCGCTTCGGGCGGGCGCCGCGCCGCTCACAACATCGGCGGCCTCGTCTTCCACAGAAGGCCCCGCGAGCAACAGAACGATCAAGGCGTTTGCCGCAGCAGGGCGCCGGGAGCCGCGGGCGGTCGACTTCATCGGTGTCCGCCAGGCATAGAAGGCAGACACCCGGCTCCGGTCGCCCCACCGTTGTGCCCCGCTTCCTTCTGAGTTGGCGGCAGATTGACAATGAGACGTCTTTTTTCCTTTTTTCTCTTTTTCTTCCTTCTCTTTTTCTTCTATTTGTTTTCTTCCCATTTTTGGAAGGCAACGGAAACGCGTTGCGCGTTACATACCCAGTGTAGCCATAGGACCGCTGAACGGCTTACAACGTGTGATTATTTTCTTGCCCAAAATAAGGTGTAAATGAGCACAAGGTCCAAGGCCCGCATGTTGTTGCATGGTGCTCCCCTTGGGACAACCCGGCCCATCGGTTACCACACTCGAATTTTCTGTTTTCTGAGTCTTTGTCACTAGTAAAAAAACAGGCCAGATGACACAGTCCTGACACGGTCTGCTCAAAATCTAACTGTGTACTTTTGGGACCACG